TGTCACAGCGTTACACTGTTTCAGAACACTGCTTACTCAGCAATTGTCTGAGTAACACTAACAGGCGGCGAACCAGCAGCATAGCACAGTCGGTCTACCAGCTGTCTGGATGGCATTGTAAGGGCAACCCTGGAGACTCCGACGAAAGCCTAGCAGGGGAGGATCCAAGACGTGAATAAAAGCTACAGGAAATACACGGAGGGACCGACCTAGCAGGGGAGGATCCAAAGAGAAGAAACTCTAAGGGTCTGCCTGCTAGGGCGCCAACTATATACTGGTCGTCCGTAACTGCCGACGTAGAGCGCAGAAAGCCTGAGCTGAGCGGCGTTGCAGGCTCTGTCCTAAGGTGATCGTTGGGAGGGTCTTGACGGATCAGTGATTGTGCGGGCGAAGGAGGCCGAGGACGAGGGTTGGGGTAGGTCGGAGCGTCCGAGGGGGCGCCGGTCGGATGTGCCTCGGATGCGCTCGGATGGTCTGAAGGAGGCCGAAGTGGGGGTTCCCCTGACAGGCATATGACTATGGTCAGGCCCAGTTTCAATGGGCCTTGAAGTTAACTTGAGCTTAGGTTGGACTTGCACCAACTCCAAGCCTCAAGACTGGTCTGGTGTGATGCGTGACATCAGGTATCAAAAGCTTTGGCTTGGGCTAGCACCGTCACGTGGGGGAAGTTCAATGTTGAGTCGTGGTGATTATTTACTTGCTTGCTTGCTTGGTGTGTGGGGGAGCTGGGGGAGGGAATACTGACCCATTTCGATCAATTCAGCGGGCCTGTGACCCGTGACCGTTTGGCGAAATGTCCACTCGGCCACAGGCCGAATTTCGCGTGACCTATTACCCGATTGGGAAGTTCGGCGCGCCGCAGGCGCCGAAAATTTCGAAAATCTTCCCGATTAGGACAGTTTGGGACCAAAAGATTTGGCTGTGACCCGTGACCCGCCGAAATATTTCGGCCAAAAAATCCGATGTGACCGTGACCCGCCTAATTGAATGAAATAGGTCAGTATCCTACACTGATCTGGAAGTCGCAGGTATTGGCCCTTGTTGCGTCACTGCCTCCGCGTCTTCCGTCCACACTTAAAGGGCTCAGTGTGATGGGAAGGTCATCCCGGCAGTCCGACGCGGACACAGTGATTGCGCCGAACGCGAACCGCGGTGCCCGACCCCGACAGGCTGCTGGCGCAGTTGCGCCACGCTGCCCGTCAATGCATCATATCATGATTGAGGTTCCGCTCCTGCAGCTGAGGTATTAGACCATGCCCATATGCACATCTCTTTGTAAAAATCCACGAGGCTCTTCAGTGCTGATCTCAGTGGATCACTGGGCATTGGAGTGAAGGAGACAGATGATGGTGTCCGACTAGGACACAGACAGGCTACGTGTGGAGCTAGCTCCGCCGCTGGTATCTGTCGCCGCACGCGGGGACCATTGATGCATCCACACATTAATTTGGCAATTAAGCAGCTCAAGGCACATAAGACGCTCTCCCGGGGCTAACGAACAGCGTCCCTGGCAGGAGACGAGATGCAGGACCCGGGACCAGTCCGGTGCCCCACCGACGTCAACAAAACGGTACGCAGGTGGGTCCCCATCCGCGACGCACCTGCCGGGCGGGCTGAGGAGTGCGCCGCCCCGCGCGGACGGCATGTCCGTGATCCCGCAGAACATGGGCCGCGGGGATAGATGCTTGAGGGTCGAATGCAGATGCAGTATGGTGGAACACACTGTCGGTTGATCAGTGCTTTCAGAAGACCGATAAGGTGGAAGAGCACACTGAGCATTGGAGAAGTATACAGTGCGGCTTCTCCGAGGTCAATCTGCTGCGCGCATCATTTGGAGGCGCTAATGGACAGCGTTGTTGCCCACGGGCTGCATCGCATGAATACCGGTGCAGAGTGGAGGAATAAAGATAGCGCACTGCTTGCGCAAACAGCCCATGTCCGTGTTGTTGCTCCACCGCTCCAGAACATCTTGATGAAGACGCCAATGACGTCAGGGCAGCTCGAACACGCCTCCGAGTTAGGATGCTCTTCAGCGGCGCGTCGTCGAAGTTGATGTCGATGCGCCGGTCGGCAGCTAAGATCGTCGTGGGGAAGCTGACGCGGCCGCAGCGATAGCATCCACGGCCCGGCCACAGTTGGGCATAAGCCAACCGCAAGCGCGGCGCCACCAATCCGCGAATCGGTAGCCTGGCAGGCGCCTGGTGTGATATTGTGTCAGGTGTACGGATTATCCTCCATAGCGCTGAGGCGGATGGCAAGCAGCACCACGGGGCACGATCGTCTCCGGATGGCCAGCGCGCAGACCCGTTAGCGTGAGCTTTCAAGTTGCGTCGACGTTTGATTTGCCAAGTCCGGACCCACAGAGTCGGAATCGATGCGCCGGTGTAAGTCCTGTGTTAGCAATTTCGTCTCAGCGGAGAGTCTCAATACAGATTTAGACTCTCGAATAAGTTGGCATCCAGAGAAGGAGTTGTTGGGGCATGTGTATCGGCTAGTGTTGCGTAGATCTGCCCCTGAGGCTGGCATTTTGCATCGAGATGAGTTAATTCGTGTCCTCGACAGTGCTGTTGCACACACGCTGCATAGTTATTAGTATAAATACCGGACCGGAGTGGAGGAACAAATCCGAAGATGACCACTCTCCAGCGGCAGGTCCATATGCTGGAAGATGATGATCATTGTCGATGTGCGCAAGATGGTGCTGACCGAAGTTGGGCGTCAGGAAGCTGAGGTGGCTGCGGCGCGGGCATCAAAGGACTGCCAGTGGTTGGGCACAAGCCAAGGTCCAAGCTTGCAGCGGGAGGAGAATCCAGTATGGCCCAGACCACATTTTGCATACCGCGGGCAGCGGTCCAAGTTCGGTTGGGAAATCCGAGGCAGTTGCTAGTATTCCTGCTCGGGTAGAGCATACGGTCGATTTGATGACTGGTGTCTGAAGACAGAGAATAAGCTAGGATAAGAGTGGGCTTGTAAAAAAGGTGCGCTCGGGTCAGCGATGTCGGGAAAGCGAGGACAGCGTAACACGCCAGGCAAAGATCTCCAGCAGCACAGTGTCGCCACAGATTTAGACTCCCGGAGAAGTTGGCGACTGGAGAAGGGGTGGTTGGCGCATGCGTATCGGTTAGTGTTGCCGTAGCATTGCGCCAGCTGGCGCCGCAGGTGTGCTGCAAAGGCTGGCATTGTGCGTCGAGATGGGCGTCAGGAACAAAAAGGGAGGCGATTGCGTAAGATGTGACTGGGCGATCACATCATGATTAGCTCCGCGCCGGGCACGCCGATTGGCTGGGCACACGTGTGCGCTGTCAATATGTGGCAGCGCTTTCCTCTCTTCACTTCCAGCTTGGCTGCAACTGGTCGCTCCATGTTTCCGAACGAACTCTTTCACGAAGTGCTCAAAGATGTGTCGCCCGCCCAGCTCAAGCTCGTCGCTCTTGCTTCTCGTCGCCTGCGCCTGCTTGCCCGCCCATTCCTCTACAGCAAGCTTGCCGTGAAGCCATATGCCCCGCGGAGGAGCGCATTGCCTGGTCAGGCGGCGCCATCCTTAAGCTCCCACCTGCTCATGAGGTGGTGGATGCCATCGCAAAACTGGCCTTCTTCATGTCCCCCCGCCATTGCGCCCGTATGTGCACTGCATCAATGTCGCCTGGGAGGAAGTGAATGGCTTCGCCGAAAGAAGCAGAGACGCAGTATTCAACGATGTAGCCGGCACGCACACCATCTGTGACGTGCTATTCGCCGGCATCTCCAAGTTCGTTAACCTACGCAAATTCTATGGCCACAGTCTCATATTCACGCTCTCTGCGCCGCCAACCTTGCAGGGTCCGCGGCCCGATTGAGCTGGATCTCTTTGCCTGTTCTGTGGACTCCGAGATCCAGGCATTCCTTCGTGCCGCTATTAACGCACTCGACATCCGTATCCGTGTCTCAAGCGTCAAAGTCGCCACCTCGGCAGCATACAGTCCCACGTGCACGCTCTCAGAATGGTTCGCGCTCTTTGAGCCCATCACACTCTCCGCGGTCAGCCTGGACATGGATCAACCAGTGGAAGGGCTTACGAGTGTGCTACCTCACGTAAAACACCTGGCGCTTAGACTCTCCGAGGGCTGCGGCGCGTTGCTAACCTACTCTGGCTGTGTGCAGCTGCAAGCGGCCTTTCCCTCAGTTGAGCAGCTTAGTGTCGAGGCGGCACTCTATGTGGACGATCCGGGGCTGCCGTGGGATGGCCCTAACGGCGGCGAACCGTTGTTTCCCGCTGTATTCAAGCTCACGACCACGTATGAAGCCAGTGAAGCTTTACCCCTCCTCCTGCGGATTGCACCGTCTATCCACACATTGCATGTCGAAAACGCTGATGCCACAAGCTTAGTGTCCGTGCTGCAGCGCAATAGGCAGTGCATCCCCGTGACAATCACGACACTCACCCTCGAATGCGACTCGGAGGACGGCGATCTTGCCGTGTGGGGGCGGTCTTTGCACATTTTCCGCACCTGCATACCCTCGACTTCACCGTAACGATGCTGTCCGGACGCGTGCCCGCCGTAAGTGAATGTCTCCTAAGTGTCGTCATCCGAACTGTGCCCATACCCTACTCAATACTATCACAGCCTGCCGCCTTCCTCACGGGCTTCCCGGCTAGTCTTCCCTTGGGTTTGCAGCGGCTCGAAGTCAAGTACTCGGACACGAGTATGTTCTCTCGCCGTGGGCCCCGGAGCGGTTCCTCGTCCGACACCTTGGTGATGCAGACAGGACAAGTGCTACGGAGGCAGCTGCTTCGCCGTTGCCCCAATCTGAGCTGGATTTCGATACTTGCACCACCCTTCCATCTCAACCTCCAGTGGACAAAGGACGCATAATCATGATATAGACACATACGAATTGAGCACACCAGATCACAAAAGATATTCAATATTGATAAACGAGAGAATGAGTGGCATTTGTATTCTTCCTTACTTGAGCTGATCTTGTGGTCAAAGGAAAGATAGGGGTGATATTGCACCGAGTCAAAGGATGCCCTGATCCAGCGGCGGGCGACCATACGTCTCCTACACCAACATCATTAGTGCATTATCCACCTCATCATTGGATAGAGAAATACGCACCGGCTCCTGCGGGCGGTTACCCAACACAGCCTCGATCCGCGCCAACACCGCAGCATCCAGCTTGGGCAGGACCTCAAGCGCGCCGAGGTTCGCCTCGAGCTGTGCGACGGAGGACACGCCGAGGATGACTGTGGAAGTGTGGCGGTGCGCCGCAACCCACGCGAGCGCCAGCGCGGTTCCGCCCAGAGTTCAGCAAGTCGGGGAGAAACGACGCACCCGCAGCAATTTGGCTGAGGAGACGCACTTTCCAAAGCAGCTCTTCGCCCTGGGGACCCTCCGTCGCCCCAGAAACATGGGCACGGTGGCGAAGCGCGTGCCGTCTGGGATGCCCTCGTTGTACTAGCAAAGTTAGTTTACGTGTTAGAGGGGTTGAGGAGGATATACCTTCCCCGTCAGCAGTCCGCCCTGCAGTGCAGAGAATGCGGTTGTGCCCAGGCCGTACTTGGCGTACAAAGGGCTACAAAGTCAGCATTAGCTACTGCTGAAGTTTGATGGTTGCCCACGCACGCGCGTATTCCTTCTCCGGACGTTCGCGGTGGAACATGCTATCGTCTCCTCAGCATTATTTCGAAGGAAGAAAGAAGATGGCGCAGACTTGTGCTTGCACTGCTCCGCGATCGGCGCGATGAGGTTTAAGCGCGTGGCAACATCTGTGCTGCGGGTAAGCGACGGGAGGTCTCGGGAGAGGTACACGCTCACGATGCGCCTCCTCGATCTGGTGCGCGCTCCACTCGGAGGTGCCCCAGTAGAAAGCCTGCGTGTGAATCTTAGTGGATATGGATAGACAAAATCCACCACTCACCCAGCCCTGGTCGATAACATAGTTAAATGCGCGGACGATCTCCTCCATCGGAACTAGCCTGCGTCAGTTGACCTCCTTATGGCGAATGTAAGAAACCCACCGGTGGTATCGCAACGATGCGCGAAGATGACGTCGACATAGTCCATCTGGAGCCGTCGCAAACAAGCCTTCGTGCCCTCGATAACGCTGTTGCCAGTCAGAGTTGTAGGAAGGAAAGGAAGGTGGCGCACTGTTTGTGCGACAGCCCCGTGTCGTTCGGGCCCGTGCCTGGCTCGTGGCTCCAGAATATCTTGGTTGAGATGACGAGGTCCGTGCGGCGCCAGCCAAGTTCTTTGATAGCGTGTCCCCTGATTTTGCTGGAGTCAGAGAAAGCGTGGTCAGAAGGGAATCTCAGGGAACGCACATTTCGCGCTCAGCCGCACCTTTCTGGTAGTCCTCCAGGGTGTCGAACATGTTGATCCCATTCTCGAAGGCGGCCTGCATGATGTCCTTGACGCTCTCGCCGACGACGGAGCCTCCGAGGGTGAGCCCTGTCGAGAGCTCAGCTAAAGCCAATGGGGAATGCGCAAAGACGGACAGCCGCCGAGAGAAGAGAGCGGCACGCCGCAGACCGCTGGGGCCCAACCGGCGGAAGGGCATCGCTTTTGCGTCGAAGACGGGGACTGGAGAGGACATGGGGGCAGGTGGAGAGGAGTGGAATGGGAATCGATTGCAGCATCGGCGAACGGGCCGGTGGTGTCTGCGGAAGGCGGAGCGCCCGTCGGTGGGGGCAGTAGACCTATTAGTGAAATGAGCGATTGGCTCTGCGTGATGAGCAAGACATGGGTAACGCACCGTGAAAAACTTGAACACGCGTAGCGACTATCAGGACCCAGTTACGCGGACGAAATAGCACACGCACCTTGTCCCCGCCTTCGGTTGTGCCCTGCTGCTTGCCATCCGGGCCGTCCGCGGGCTGATTTCACGCCGCTTGTTTCCGCCCAGTAGAGGCCGCCACCCTGGGTGTCAGACTCGCCAGCGAAAAGTGAGGGATTACTGGGGAGTAGATCAGCGAAATAGAGACTGAATGCACAACACGCACCTCAAGCCACGCCAAATCGACCGTCGCAGCCCATCCCTGCTCCTACTCGCGCTGTGGCTCAAGCATAGCATTCGTGCCGCGCTCCGACCAGGGGCGGGACCGTCTCCAGCGCATGGATGGAAGGAGAAGACAAGGCGTGGCTGCTTACGTGGCACTGGCGATCGGCATCAGGTCCGGGCTCGGCGGCCGTGACATCAATCTCTGGTTTCTTTCCTCCGCTCCACGACGACGATGCGCTTGCACGACGATACCTAGCGCACCCTGCGGGGCCACTCCCGCACGAACGACAATCCGAGGCCCAATTTCTCTGGTGCATTTCTACTCCAGACATCGCCCTGCTCGTTCTCATAACTCGGGCCGGCAGTGCGTCCAGGACTATGGTCGAATGCCACTCCCCGTGCTCGTCAGCTTTCTTGCTCCACCCGCTTTGCGCCGCGCCGCCGCCGCCGCGTTGCTAGCCGTTGCTGCGCTGCATCTACAAGTTTGCCACCCCCCACGGCTCTTCCTTCGCCTTAGAAATCCAGCCCTCGGGCCGGTCCATATATCCCCTGGTGTGTAGCTCCGGTCGCGCGTTCGCCTCGCGGACCGGCTCTTGCGCGACACGTCAACGACACTGGCCCGCGCTTTTGCTTCCTTGCCGCCAGTATCTTGACGCCCACGACAATTGTACTTAACGCCTGAATCTACGGATCCTCTAGTTTGTCGTCCACTCAACGTGCACTTACCAGCAAGCTCTTCCGCACTGAGCTGTCCCCCCCGCATGACTGTGTTTTCGGCAACGGTCATTTGATGCTTGTCATATCTATTCGACAACATGCTGGAATGCCCTGTCGTCTTACCAATCAAAGAAATATTATCGAAGTTAGGCATGCACGAGTCCAAACACATGTCCGAGTCGGCGATAGATTCAATCGCTGGTCCACTGCAAGTCCAGGAATGACCCACGGATAACTATCTGCCGTGAGACCGCCACACCCTTTCAGTAGTTCTGCCTGGAGCTCATCCGCGCTTGGAAGACGGCTCAATCCCACTCTTCCCGTTTGCCCCCCGGGAAGGACAGCCCTTGAGGACCAAATATGGACACGGAGACTTTCGAGAGTGGGCGGAAGGATGGTCGATAGGCTGGCGAGGAAGTGAGGGGCCTGGAGAACGGTGTTGATAGGATCAAGGCCGCAGATAACAGGACAGAATTCACCTCGCTTGGCCGAGAATCACCGCTGGACTCTTTGACACGGAAATCGAGGGTGCGCAGGTTCGGGAAGAAGGCAAGGATCCCGGACCAAAGGGAGTAATTGCCATTATCCGACTGCAATGCTACGTTAGTTATCGTGGGCGGAATATACCTCTCGATGCGCTGGAGCGTAAACAGCAGTCTCCCGGCAGCTTCATTCCAAATCTTCAGTTTGTTCACAAATGGTGTGCATGGGAGAACTGCAGGCAACACTTTGCAGGCTGTGGTCAGCTCGCGCACACACGGAAGCACACAAGCTGGCTCGCTCGCGGCCATCTCTGTGTTATAAGGCCCATCGATGACCTGAACGCACAGCTGTTCGAGTCCCGGGAAGGTGCGCGGCAGCTGCTCGATGCCAGAGTGGGTTAACACCAATGAATTCTGGATCCGCAATACAAGATGTCGCACCCAGGGAACACGACATCTTCGGCGACACAACCTGGCAAGGCTGAGCAGACGCTTGTCAATGCACCAAGTGAACTTGACCAGCATGGCAAGATCGAGGATGTGAATCCATGACCAGAGATCCCCTTCTGGCTCCGAATCTCCAATCGCAAATCGGAAAACCAACTCAGAGACGGGAAGTCAGATATCGAGTGCACAGGAAGCTGCAGGAAACGCACCAGCGGCACCACTCTTCCACCACATCATTCTCTCGTCCCGCGGCCGCCGCTCACTCCTGAACTAGGCTTGACGGAGCAACGCCCTTGCACGAACAGTATATACCACCAGCCACGGTATGGCTTGCCAAAGCGGTCCCCACCCGGGCCGTCGCGGGTCAGGAGAACATCTGTCCAATGAGCCCAGGACCCTGCGCGGAGCGGAGCTAGCGGGGAACGACCCCGAGCGAGTCGAGCGGGGCATCAGGACGGTGCAGGCCTTCGCGTTGAGGGTTAGGGTCACGCTGGCAGACGGCCTTCTTCGCGGTGGGTCCCTCCGCTGTGTCGGCTGTGCGTGCGGGACTTATCTGCGGAGGTGTAGCTGAGCAAGCGGCACCACCCCGACGTGCCCGGCCACCAGTCGACGCCGGCGTTCCACGAGGTTGCGGAGGCGTATAATGTCCTTCGACGCCGGCGTTCCACGAGGTTGCGGAGGCGTATAATGTCCCTGCGGGACGCGGTACTAGGTGTGCCGCATACGGTTGATTTCGTGTGCTTCACAGAACTGAGGAGACTGTGACAGACGCGCATATGACAACACGCTTCCGTGTGAGAAGTGGACGCACTTGAAGGCACTGATAACTTGGAGGATTCCGATTCAATAGTTTACAGAATATTTTCCACTAGAAGGACTACCAATCATTGTCATATTTCCCTGGGGCGCCCGCTGAGCGACGCTCCGCAAGCATTTTATCCACGCGCTCCCAGAACCCCGCACTAGTCGCGCCGCCTGTCCACTCATCCTGCCACTCCGGCCAGCCGATCCCCTGGTGGACCAGGAGGCACGCAGGGTGCTCTATGAGGCGTTCGTCGAGCGGCACCTTCCCAACGCGCTGGTAGGACAGGACGAATACATTCAACCGCCGATGTGGATCCGACAGCACGTCCAGCAACATGTCGAGCGGTGGGGCGTCCCTCTGCAGAATGTCGTGGTACCACTCCTTTGTATCGATGGCGAGATGCGTCAGCGCACGAAGCGCCAGAAGCGGCGGCCAGACTTGCGGCCAGCGGTGGTAGAACGACAGGTGGAGGTGTGTGATGCGCGTGAGCGCGGAGAGGTCGGGAGATGCGGTCATCATGTAGAGCGAGAGCAGGTTCGTGGTGAGCCGCCGGAGGTTGGGCAGAGTTCCGAGCACGTCTGCCGTGCTAAAATATGAGACCACGCGGTAGAATGACAACATCTTGGAGGTGGGGGCAGGAGTTCAGAATACTGTTAGTCTCAGACGAGGAGAGCTCTCCGTCGAGACGCAGACCGGTCGACTGCGCGATGAATGCCTGCCGGCGGGGGGTCTTCGATGAGCGCCCTGAAGGCAGACGGCGACAAGACTGGGAATGGTGTATTGAGAGTCGGACCAGCCTCCGGATCCCGAAGACTCAAGACGTTGTACAGCAGCGGCTCCACACTGGCGGCCACAGCTGGTCAGCGAGAGAAACGGACCAAAGTACGCATTGCCGGACGCACCACTCTTTCACCCACCACGCTACGCGCATCAACACTGGGATGCCCCGCGGCCGCTGCAGCGCCGCCTCGCGGAAGATGTGCAGCTCGATCTCGCGGGGAAGGGCGGGTCGTCCATGAGAGTGAGAAGCAAGATGCGGGGATGAGTCAGCTGGCGACCGCGGGAATCAATCAACTGGAAGCGCCAGTGTTCCGCAAAATGCTGTATAACATCGCTGCAAGTGCCTACCAGCGAAAGACGCGACGCCGATGCGGGACAACGCTGTTGGCAGCCAGATGCCAGCGCATAGTGGACGACGCAGAGGATCGGTCGAATAACGGCGACTGCACCATTCTTGGGGGGAAAATTGGCAATATGTTGATTAGTAGTGCACGGATACAACAACGTCTATTACACTGACAATGGGTGAGCCCCAATTACTAGTATCAAGTGCACAACACACCTTGTCCCTCTGCACACGACAACCATGAGACCCGCCGAGACGGGTCAAGGAAGATAAAAAATTGTGCCACGACGACGGACAAATACGATGTACAAGGAGCCGCGTGCGCTGGCGCCCACCCGCCAGCCACATTTTATTTTTGAAGCGCCTGATCCCATGTCCATCCTGCCTCGAAAGCAGGCTGTTCCTTCCTCGACACCAGCGCGGGCCACCGAGGGCAGAATCGCAAGGTCGGCTCAGACCGTGTGGGGGGAAAGTGGGCGGAAAAGAAGGGCGATGACCCGTGTTTGGCGGGCGGCGCACGGACCATGCTGATGCACGTGCACAGGGAGCCATCAAATTCATGTCCGTGGACACGTTGGCCGTGAAGGTTTTTGGGCACCATTGTAGTCCTTTGAGCGCAGAATGCTGCACTGTGTCCTCCGATACCCGACTGTATTAAGCTGGAGAAGGAGCTTGAGAGCAAGACCTGTCTTTCAAGTTGAGCGCAGTGGCTTGGCATCCCAGTCGGCTGTCACACGCTCAGTGACGCTCTCACGCGGCAACCATTTCTCTCCTAACAACCGTGTTGCCCAACGAGCTCCTCCTCGACGTCTTCCGACGAGCGTCAAGGGATGACCTGCACAATGTCGCCCGTGCATCGCGGCGCTTCTGCTCTTTGGCTCGCACACTCCTACTCACCAACCTCTCGTTCCTGCCCTATACCTTTGACGACGGAGCAAACGCAGCAGTTGGAGGATAAACTGGGACTGTTTGGGTCGAATAGCGTGGCGCCGTCGTCAAGTGCATCTCTGTCAACCTGCTTAGCTGCTACTCTGGGTATTCGTACAAATTCAGCGATGTCAGGTTCAGCGACGAGGACGAGATTCATTCTATGCTCCATAGCGTACTCACGACACTCCCCCCGCTTGGCAATCTTCGCTACTTCAAGGCTGAACAGATAGAATTCACGACCGCGGCGCTTGGTGCGCTCGCCCAGCTACAATCACTCGAGACATTGTTCCTCATCAACTGTGCAATCCCCCCTTCTCTCGCCAGCTCTATGTTCCTCCAGAAAATATCCATCAGCAGCTTGATACTCGCCGACTGCAGCGAACCGAGCTCCTGGCTGAACCTTGTAGCCTCAGCGCGTTTGCGCGCTGCAGATACGATGGGAAGCAGCAGCGCCAAGTCTGGCATTACACTGCCAGGGCGGAATTGCCGTACTCCCGATATTCCTGAATACCACCCACCTCACAATTAGTATCAGAGGCTCGGAGACCAGTGAACTCGCCACCTTGCTCAACACCGCCTTTCCTAGGCTGGAGTCCCTGATACTCACGACCGACAACATTCCCTCCCCGGTAGCCCCTCCGGACCGCGATTTGCCATGCACATTCCGTACTTTGACACAGTTACAAGCCACGCTTGAGCTGGCATTGCTTATCCTTCCGCTGGCCAACATTGACAAGCTCACGCTACTGGGACCCGATCGCCAGCCCTGCTGCTCGCCCTTGCTGCCCTTCCTACGCACACTGGAGCAGTCACGGATCTGACGCTTGCAGTGCTAGAGGGGTGCGACACTAGCAGCAAGCTGGCATCCATAGCCAGCTACTTCCCTGCATTGGATCTTTTGAATGTCCACCTCGCATTTCACTATGGAGACGAATATGTACACTCGGTGGGTGCCTGCGATATCGACAAGTACAGTATGAGGGGTGACGAAATCAGTGGGACTGGGACTGGGCCACCCCAAACCAGTCCTACTGATCGAGTCCAATCCCACTGATCAGCCCTTAAGCAAGGGTGATCAGTGGGATTGATGCACTCGACGCATGCTTCCTATGACCTCGGGAATCAGCTCAGGATCAATTCACGAGCTGCGCAGCAGGCCTCCGCGGCAGCGTGGGGTCCGGGTGGAAAACCCCGGCCGCGCCGTAACTACGTGATAAAAAGCTCCAGAGCACCTAGGAAAGTGAGAGAGGGGAGGAGGGAAGAGAAGAGTGCTCCGCGCAGCGGGCCCTGCGGCGAGCAGAGGCCCCGGCAGGGTGGGTCCAGGGCAAGGCCCTCGTCCTCTCTATCGTTAACGTTTTCTTGTTTGCTGAGGCTCTCCAAATCCCCGTTAGATCCAACGACAACTGGGAAGGGAGCCTAACCCGGGAGCATTGCGCTGCTCGGACGCTCGCATGTCCCACGACAACAACTCGGACTACGGAAGCACATTCGTAGAGCAGCTTTGAGCTGATTAATCTCACAAAACTATGGATTGCACGCCTAATGTCCTCCCCCTTACACTTCATGTGACAGCCTTTCTTGATTACGGCGCAGACATTACTCCCGCTGGTATCTCGCTGGCGAGACGTCTCACTAAGCGTGCCAATGGAGACGCTGGCCCAGCTGTTTTTGGCTGGATCACAATTTCCAATGCTACAGCGTCTTTCGATTGCGGCGTCCGAGGGTGACTGGGAGTTGAAACGACTGCGAATCCTGGACGCACCGGAACTGCGATCCCTACAAATACTCTCAGTGGAGATCATTGCGCTGCATCCCTCCAAGGCGCCATTTGCACAGCTAACAACCTTGTACTTCAAACGCCTCGCTGGAGTCTCTGCTGCCTTGGACATCTTGAAGCACAGCAGCAGCCTTCAACAATTCTAGCCTGGTAATCACAATGGCTTTGTCTAGGAAAATTGTCTGACTTTGACCTCAGAGCGACGAACATCTAGTATGTAGTGCTTTTGAAGTTTTCTCGTTTAACCCTCCAAAGGCGCCGGCAATTATGACATGTAGATCACGCTTATCGAGATGGATTTCTGTATGGACGGCGCCATCCTTTCCCATTCGAAACTTCTGCTAAGCGTCAAACAGGACACCCCGACATACTCAAAATACGCGGAGATTATTGCCAGTGCGTCTACTTAACCTGCTGCTTGTACCCCACTGACCGCGCCC